GGCGATTTCCTGCGAAAAATAATTGATTCCCGCGAAAAACGAAGGATTTCCCGCGAAAAATTTATTTCATGGTATTGTAACAAGCAAACGTTGAATACATTTTTCATTCGTGTAAGAAGAATTATTTAACACGATAAATTTAGCTGTACTATGGTTATTTTTAATCTACGACCACAGGTCAACCTGATTTTTAATCCCTACGAAATTAATTTAACCACGAGTAAGTAACGAGAACGCTAAAACCTATGTTTCCATTGAAGAATATTGTAAAAACGTATAAATTGTTATATGCAATGTTATAACAAATTGTCGGAAGTATAAATTTTTAATAAAATTGTGAAAATTGATAAATTATACCGTGTTACGATATCGGAAATCTCCCGCGAAAATCTCCCGCGAAAATTTCCCGCCTGACCTAACCGACGATTTTGCTAATGACTTTGGGGAGAGGGTACCGCAGGTATATAAGGACCCGCCGATGTCCCGCGAAATCATTTACCCTTTATACTGGGCCCTAGACACTTCGCGGCGTATTTTGACCTGAAGGTTCTGAGATGTGAATAGAGTGGTCGGGGGCTACTAGCTAGTCTATGTCCACCCTGTACACACTCAGCCTTCTTGTAACACTTGTATACATTAGAATCAATTAGAATTTCTATTACTAATTATTAAACAAATTTTAACAATTACCGGCACTCGCTAGGCACGTAATATCAGACTTTAAATACTCGACTTCGAACTTCGGTTTAGTCATAATTCTATTAATGTTATAATAACGTATAATTTATTAATTTTCACAATTTTATTATTAATTTATACTTCCAAAAATTTGTTAAAACATTACATATTATTATTTATACATTTTTGCAAGTTTCTTTGACAAATAAGTACGTTTCAACGATCTTATTACTTTCTCGTTGTGAAATCAAGTTCGGAGGATTAAAAATCAGGTTGACCCTTGGTCGTAAATTTAAAATAGCCATAGTGAAGGTGAAATTATTATTTTAAATAAATGTTTCTATACGAATTAAGAATCTATTCAACGTTTGTTTGTTGCAATACCGTGAAATAAATTGTATTATATATTTTCTCAGTTTCGACTGAATTTAAAGTTCGTAAGGATTAGAAATCAGGTTGACCTGTGGTCGTAGATTAAAAATAGCCATAGTGAAGGTAAAATTATTACGTTAAATAATTGTTTTTATACGAATTAAATATTGATTCAACGTTTATTTGTTGCAATACCGTGAAATAAATTGTATTATATATTTTTTCTGTTTACACTAAATTTAAAGTTCTGTTTACATGTTATAACAATTAGAATGTAGACGTTTTGCCGTTTCACGGTTTTTCCTCTGTTAATTATGTGTTTATAAATCATTTCAAACTAAAGCAGCACCATGCCCACCCTTAATTAAACCGTCTCAGTAGTTTACCGTAATTAATAACCTATTTTCGGAATTTATACGAGAATTTTTGAATTTTAGTAAATACTAGAGTCAGTGATCACCCTGTACACACTCAGCCTTCTTGTAACACTTGTGTACATTAGAATCAATTAGAATTTCAATACAATAGATTGAATAACAATTCATTTTAACTAATACCTATTAGAAATTTTCCTTTTAAAACAAATATAAATCATTTTACCAATTACTGGTTCTTGCTAGACATTTAATATCAGACTTTAAATATTCTCCTTTCGGTTCTTTTAAGTACAATCAAATAATTTCTTCAATTATCGATACTGACTTGGAATACTCCGCTTCGAATAAAATATTTCGAAATTATTTTGAAGGTTTAGGGAAATAAACATTTGAATTTTAGTCTGATATTGAATTTTGTTTACTAATAATTTACCATTCAACGAATTTGCATGAATTGCATGTTAAGTAGTTAGTTGATTTATTATTGTATATTGTGAGCTGATTTGGAACGAGTGCACTATGCCCACCATAAATTAAACCGTCTCAGTAGTTTACCGTAATTAATAATCTATTTTCGGAATTTATACGAGAATTTTTGAATTTTAGTAAATACTAGAGTCAGTGCATCGCGTATTGAAATAATAGCTTATACAGATAATCTTTTGAAATTACTCTTAATTAGGGAAAATCTTGAATCTTGTATGGAAGATGAAGATTTTCAGGAAATATTTATTTTTCAACAATGAATTTTTGTTTTATCGATTAATAACGTACGAAATGATTTTTGGAAAATTTTCTTCGTTTGAACGTTCGTTTAAGGTTCGACTATGATTATCAAATCTCTCGAAACACCGTAGAATGTTCAATTTTAAAAGTAACTTCTTCAATTTTTGGATAATCTGGGTAACGTGTTAGTGTTGACGATACACTTTCGAGTATAGACGTTAAAGTTCATAGAGTGGTCGGGGGCTACTAGCTAGCCTATGTCCACCCTGTACACACTCAGCCTTCTTGTAACACTTGTATACATTAGAATCAATTAGAATTTCAATACAATAGACTGACTAGCTAGACATTATTTTCAATTGAAAAAAAAAAAAATTATAAAGCATAATTCTATAATCCTATGCTTAAAACGTATTTTCTTGTGACCGCCTGATAGCAACCTGTAAATCTGGCGCGACAGTGAACATGTTAATAAGTAAATGTTGTTCAAATTATGTTATTTTCATCAGAAAAATCTCATCAATAAGTTAAGAAAAATTTCGGGATAAAAAAACGTAAAATTTAAAAAGTTGATATTTAAATCGCTTGGTTGCCTCGACTCTCGTTTCATGCTTATCTTTTATTCGCTGTCCTTGTCTACGTTCGGCAAACTACAAAGGCGGGCGCGAGGCTCGATAACGTAGTCCCTGACTCTACGAGTGTCAGGTTTAGCTTCTTTGCGGTCTGACACTTGTGGAGAATATACTGTATATACAAATTTCAAATAATTAAACTCAGTAAAATTCGAAAGGGTTAACAAGGTTTCCAAATAAAATTGCTCACTTCTCAAAAGGTTCAATTCTTCCAAAGAAAAAAAATTCGAGAAAAAGCAGCTTGCTATACTCCATACTTCGTCTTACGTCTAGCACCATCCCCGGTCGAGAGAATATCTCGTCGAGCCACCCTTTAATGCTTGTATTCCTTAGAGGAGAAGGATACGTGACCACACGCAAGGTCCTTGTAGTTACGGAGGGTTGTCTGAGGGTGGCACGGGGTCGACTGTGGTTTAGGAGGTCATGAGAAGGGAAACGGGGTCATCCCTTAATGTCCCCAGCGTTCCAGCTTGTCAGACGTGCGTTTAAAACCGCCCCTGCTCGCTCCACTCTGGACACGGTCGATTCTATGGGAACACGGGTTGCTCGAGGGAAAGAATTTCCTCCGTCTGGCAATTAGTGGGACGACGAATGATTTACCGGGAACAAATTCGAAAGATTTCTACTTCTCCAACGCCCTGTATTTAGGATGAAATTTCTCTCGCTAGAATTACGTAGGTATATGCTCACTAATTCTCAACCCTCGGACTTAGAAATTGCAATTAAAATTAATTGAACACACTTTTGTAGTGTTTTAACCACAACCTACACCACGAGTATTGTTCGTTATTGGGAAAGGGTTAGAGAGCGCCACAGTTAAAGGGTTAAGTTGAAAGTGGAAATTTCTCTTGGTAAAATTAATCCTAAAATTGAAGTAAAAGTGAAAGTTTATTGCATATAGGGACTCTCTATTTTAATATCTCAACCATAACCTACACCACGAGTGTGATTCATTATTGTAAAGCAAAGGGTTAAATTGTGTCACATTTAAAGGGTTAACTTCAAAATAAAAATTTCTCTACGCAAAATTACCCCTGAGACTTCGAAAATAAGACTGAAATTAAACTAAAAACGACCTGACTTCCAAGAAAAATGGTCAAAGTCTACCTCGAATAAAGGGTTAACTCCAAAAACAAAAATTAACCATTCCCATAATTCTCCAATTTTTCCAGAAATCTTGTACACCTACCCAAGTAGTAATTCAACCTTCTTTTATACATCAGTGTATGTATATCCCTGCGTCACTTGGCTTCAGCCAGGCAATTTATCCACCCTCGAAGCCACGCAGACACGCACAGGTCTGTACGCGTAACAAGTTACGTGAAACAGAGAGAGAGAGAGAAATTTGAGCGGGAGAGAGAGAGAGAGAGAGAGGTGGGTTGGATTGTTTATCCCAGTAGAAGGCCGAGTGATGCCCAAGGTCATAGGCCAGGCCCGCCACCCTCGTCTGTGTTGTGTCTAGACGGTGCTTTTCACCCCTCGCCGCCCTCTTTACCATCCTCAACCCTCGCCACCCCCGCCTTCGACTGCTTCCCGACGTATCACACTCCACCACCTTGGCAACCCTCGGCCTCTTGCCACCTACCACCCTTCGCTATGATGCTCGATCAATTATCGATGCTCTTTGTGCCGCTTTTCGACACGATTTTCCCGTCAACTTTCTCCATTATTCGCCGATTCGATTCCGCCAGCTTTCTCTAATTGCCGAATTACCTTCGAGACTGTGTTTATGCTTGAGCGTTATCGCCTTGAGGTTTCCTTTTTTCAGACGATTTTTGGGTAACTTTACGTAATTTTGCAATCCTCAGATGTTGCAAATAAAAGTGTCACACTTTGTCGCGTATTTCTTTTTTTCGAGAAATCTCGAGATTTCGAAAAATTTTCCAAATGAACTCTGAAACTTCCCTCGTTCACCGATCCGTCGATGAGATTTCGGCGGTTCATTCTCGAGCTGTTATTAAATTCCGAAAATGTGATAAAAGCTCGCCGAGAAAATTCGCCGTATCGAAGGGTTAAAAGTTGAGAATTTCGTTTCAACCGAGAAATCTACAAACTTTTCGAACGAAGTAGACCAAAAATGATCCACCGAAATTCCGAAAATTTCCGAAATGAAGCAAACGAGTATACACGCGAATATATTTAACAATATTACGCTAAATAAATACGGAAGAATTTCCGGGAAAATTGTAATAGCGTACGGTTCTCTCTGTTACAGCAATGCAACCCCCACGACAAGGAGAGCGACTATTGGGGCGGTGGACGGGGCGCGAAACAAGGTTACGAGGTGAGCCAACCGCTTGCACATATTTCAGGAGAACGGCCGGAATTTTCACGGCCCCCGTGCTAATTCTACTTAGTGAAGCGCAGCACTTTCTGTTGCAGGCGAAAATGAACGTGGACCATGGCCAACTGCAGAAGGGTGAGTTTTGTCCCTCTCTCTGTCTCTCTTTATTCCTTCATGTGTCTCTCATTAGATCGCTTAATCGTCGCGGGTGCACTTGTCACTCGAGTGCCTTAATTATGCCTACATTTCTCTCTGCTCTCCTATACCTTGTTTATCTATTTATTTCTGGAACGATTTGCGTAGAAAAAAGGGGAAAGAAACGTGAAGTGGAGGAGCGAGAAGGAAAATTAGCTACGACGATCACAGCGACGATGAATTTTTATTTAACTTGACCAGTTGACGTTTCGTCGTTCTTCTTGATCTGACGAAAAAAATTATTGCACTAATATTTTTCGCAGCGTACAACGTAATTTGGAGCTCTTGTACGTTGTCTATTTGAAATCATTCGCAGAAGAAATTAACGTAGGTTGAGAATTAGACTGAATGATTAATTTTTTTTAGGGGAGACTGGGGATCGGTAGTTATTTTCTTCACTGTCAACTAGTCTATTGTGAAATTTATCGTACTTTAAGATTCCGAGCTTAACATATCGCATTTAGTAGGGAGCCATTTAGGTGCAACTCGGGGAAACGTAATTTCTAGCTTCGTCAGTGCTTTTCAGTGAAATATTTCAATTTCTGATGAAGTAAAATACAATTCTGTAGGGATGACCGAGCGTGAGTGCGTTGTTTGTATGAATGCGTTGTCTGTGTGAATGCGTGAGGGTCTATGGTCAGAGCGGTAAGGACCGGCGTGCCAGGTCGAGTGTTTGGGATAGCGCGAAAGATATTGAACGAATGTTTAGTTTTAGTAATCAGGCGAGGAGTGCGTGAGCGCGTGTGTGTTTTCTTCTATCTAAAAGTGTGCATGTATGCAAGATGACATTAGGATGAATGCGAGGGAGCGAAAGGCAGTATGAATCCAGCGATTGATCGAGCTACATCCTTAGCGTAGCACCTAGCAATATAAAGTATTAATAAATATAGTATAGTCAAAAGTCCGTTCGAGTTTACTATCCCTCCTCACATAAATCCCCTACAATTCTATGAATAATGTCTATTTATTAAGGTTCGGACCGTTTCGCTGTCGCAGGTGCCGTTAAAATGGGTGACAGCGTGCCCGACTCACATGGCGAAAACAATTAAGAGCACAATCCTATCTCTTTTCGTTTTAAAGTGACAACCATTGTAACACCTTACCCCCAGTCTCCCCTACTGGGTGCTCTTTTTTTAATTTAACCAGCGAGGTATCTTCGTTCCTTTTGATAAAGCGAAGAAACGTTCGAAGAGCAGATATTTTTCAAGGTCGCTTGGAGCTCTTGTACGTTGCTTATTTATTTCTACGGGTAGTGAATGATTTGCGTAAGGAATTAACGTTGGTGGAACGAGGAGGAAGGAAACTTAGAGTAAATGATCAATTTTCTTAATTTAACCACCTGAAGTGTCTCTATTCCTTCTGATAAAGCGAAGAAACGTTCGAGAGGGAGATTATCCTGTTGCTATGAAGTAATATTTTTCAGGGACACTGTCGTTTTTTGAAATTTGCATTGTAGCGTTCTTCGAAGCTCTGGAAATTCGTACTTGTTATCCTCCCCGCATCGAAATTGTGAAAAATTATACTTGGACCAATCCGTCGCCTTCTCTCCTGCCCGCTGTTCTGCCAAAAAACGTTTGGCCATTGAATAAATGTCGACCAAGGAGCGCGCAAATATTGGCACTCGATATTCGATAGCGCTGTTATTCGTGGATATTGAAATAACAGAGGTGAACGGCGACACGGAGAATGGGAGCACACTATCGTTTCCCTTTTTTTCTGTTTTTCTCCTATTTTTCGTTTCTCCTCGCTTCTTCGTTGTCGTCTGTTTTTTTCCGGGAAGCCTCGCTTCGCCCTGAATCCGGGAATTTTGGGAAACTTGAGGAGCTGCGAGAAGTGGGGACTTTTTGAAAATTTTGTCCTCGAGCTGTAACTCTGCATTCTGTCGAATTTAAGTTTCTCTTGTCAATGAGATTTCAGCGGTTTCTTCGCAAAATTTCGCGAAACTTCAGCAGACGTCGAAGGGTTAAAATTTGAGCATTTTTGGGATTTGCGAAATACTAGTTTCACAGTTTTGCGAAATTTGTCCTGAAGAAATAATTTTGCATTCTGTCACTCTGTCAGTTTTAAGTTCCTCTTGTCAATGATCTATCAACGAGATTTCAGTGGCTCCTCCTCGAAGCTTCGCCAACAGTCAAAGGGTTAAAATTTGACAATTTTCAGAAAATTAAAAATACTACGTTTTCACTCTTCAATTCTGCAATAATTAACCGTACACCAGGCGTAACTTCAAACAAAACCCAAAAGTTCTCAGAATGTCTCTTCTCGAATATTTGCTAATTTCAATTTCCAAGAAACCGCAAAGGAATAACAAGAACAGACCGAAGATTGCTCGAACCGAGCTGTTTACTCGTTGATTCGCGCGGCGAGGCAGACAAGAGATGATTTCATCTCGGTTTATCGTTAAATAATCGAACAGCGTGTCGGAGAGACCTTTGGAAGAGAGAAAGAAGAGAAGAAAAAAATGAAGAGTGGACAGGGCCGAACGCTGACGCACGCTACATGTAAACAGTTCGTAAGGCCCGTGGTCTCTCTCTCTCTCTCTCTCTGGAACCGGTTGTGACTTTGCATCCGTGACGTAAGATCGTCGATTAGGATCGAACCTGAAACCGGCAGGAGAGGGAGGGGGAAGAGGTCCAACAGAAGGAAGAAAAAAGAGGAAGCAGAAAACACGCGTGAACGCGAATTTATCATTCGAACGTGTCCCTGTCGAGTCCGTTTTATTTTTCACCTGTTAGCTAAGACCTCTTCTTTCTCTTTTGAGTCCTCCTTCGATTCTTCTTCTTCTTCTACGGGAGGCTTCCTTCTTCCGTGTTGCAGTTTCCCTGACCTCTTGAGAAGCTCTTTTTGCGGATCGAGTCCGGGAACTGGTGTTTGAAGATTCGTTTCCTCTTCTCCTTTTTTTTCTTCCTCTTCTTTTGGTGTTTTAAGGTGGTTACGTGGTGCAATCAGGTTTGGGGAATTTAAGAAGGGTAGGGTCATTGCTTCTCCCAACGATTCTCTTGTGCTTCTGCAAGTTAGGTGAATTGCGACTTTTTCAGTTGTGAGATATGTTTTCTTCCGAAGTTTCTGGTTGGTCGGTGAATACAATTTTCTGCTACGTACTTGAAGTGAGTTTCCCGAAAATCTCGACTGAAAAATGAAGGACCAAATCGTTGTGAAGATTATGCGAAAGTGCAATTTCCAAAATCTTCCATTGATCAATTAAAATAATTTCTCCTGCATGTTTCGATGAAACCACCCGTGAATATCAATTACTTTCGAACCCCATAAAAAATCAACGAGAATAATTCCCTCCTTCGTGCTTAATTTTCAAATATCCAGCACTCGAATCGAATCACCTAAAAAACCAAGGAAAATAATTTTCTCCTCCACCCTTAGTCTTCGAATACCCAGCACTCGAATCGAATCAGCCGAAAAATCTTTAAATTAAACCACCCCTAAATTACATTCTCGAACATCCACCGCCTGAGCAAACTGCCATCGTCACGGGCCGGAGTCAAACGAGTCGTAGAATTAGAGTTGACAAGGGTAGAAATTAATTGGGGGAGGGAAGAAGAAAATCTTTGAATTTCTCCAATCGAAACGATCGATGGTCGATACAGAGAGAGAGAGCGAGAGAACGCCGCGCCGCTGCCGGCAATGACCTAGGCCATTCACAGGCCGTCATTTTTCCCCCCCGGTTGCTCTCCCCGAAGGGATTAAGTAATCGGTGGCTTCACTCGTAAAAGGTGAAGCACGTTTCCATAAATGTTTTTCACTGCCAATGGCACGCGCGACGTGTCGTGTAGATCGGCCATTTACGTGAACGCACACACGCTTTCCCCATCGTGCTGTTCCGCCTGCCTCTGACGGGGCACCATGTACCGATTCACCTGATAAGTGGAAAGAAACCAAGCAAAACATCGCCTGGTTATTCAGCCTCGCGTATTTTTTCTCTCTCTCTTTTTTTTTCTACTCTCGTCCACCGTTCGTTGTCTTTGCCCCGGTTAACGAGGGGATCGTAATTAGCTGTTGAGCAGTATCAGCTGCGAGTTTTATTCATCTAATTGACGTCGTTTTATTTTACCTGGGATATTGTTCGTTCAGTTGGGGATTTTAATTCTGTTAAAATTGTCATTTTCGGTGTTTTACGTGGAGTGTTGGGAATCTGGGGATGAGCTGCTTGTTGTAGTTTCGGTGGTGACGATTTTTAAGGAATAATAGATTTTATGGTTGTTTATTGCTGTTTTAGAAATTTTCTTGTGGCTTGATTCGTTGGAAGCAAGGAGTATACACCTGTCCCCCGACTTACACGGATGATCGGTTCCTCAGAAAATCGAAATCATGGCTTTTTGCATGTGTAAATCGGGGGAAAAACAAAATGCGCAAAAATGTAAAACAAAAATAAAATAAAAATGAAAAACAAGAAATATTCAGGGTCAGGGTTTAGTTTCGAGCGAGCGGTCGACGAAGGCGAAAATAGCCGGTCGCCAATGAAAGATCCGCGGCGGCAGCAAATGAATGCTTTTTGTCTGCAAAAAAGGGGGAAATTCCGTTCATTTTTTGGTTTAATGCCAGTGTTGACAAACGAACGGTACTAAAAAATGACTGTACCAATATGTGCGCAGCATAAACTTTTATTTTTAACAGTTTATGTTTCTGGTAAGCCGTTATTTTGAAAACCGTGTAAAACGTGGGGTTGGTGTATTAATTTAGGGAGGAATTGCCAATTTTTGTTTTACCAAAGACACTAATTTTCGTGGAATATGACAACTTTGTCTCCTTTCTTGCTTATCTATCCAGTTACGCTGAGAAAAGGTCTCAGTCAATACTTTGTGAAAAGGAGCGAAGGTGTTTTACGTTAGAAGTATATTTTTTACGATTGTTTGTTGCTTTTTTGCAAATTTTCTTGCGGCTCGATTCGTTGGAAGCAAGGAATTGCCAATTTTTATTTTGTAGAG